TCCACCACCCCTGATTTTATGCTAACAAGATGTTAAACCCCCTTTCTTTGGTCTGGAGAGGGATCTTTTGCCGGTGAGCAAAAGTAAGATCGATGAAACAACTACATGCTCCCGAATTAATGATTGCGGTCACCGACAAGGTTCTTCCGGGGAGCTGTAAAGACACAGGTATTGGCAGGTAACTAGATTGATCACCCCTTTCTGCACTGTCATTGGCCGCCCAGGACGCGCCCCTGGGCTGTCATTGGCCGCCCGAGGCGCGCCCGCGGCTCCTACTGCGCATGCGCGGCGTCCAGTCAGCTGCGGCCCGCCGGGACCTGGTGCTTGTGTCCCGGCGTGAGCCGCCGCTAGTGCGCGTGCGCTGGGGGAGGCGCCGCAGCGATCCCTGACACCGCGCATGCGCACTCGCACGCCTGGCACCAATGACGGTGCAGGGAGCACTATTTAAACTGGCCAGGCGGTGATCAGGTTGCCGCAAGGTCTAGTTCCTGTACCTGTGTTTCTGAAGTGCGTCCCTGTTGCCAATCCTGCTTGTCCTGAATTGTGTTGACCTTCTCCTGCTCTGACCCCCGGCTCGTCTCTGACTATTCCTCTGCCTGTGATTACTATTGGACCTCCCATTGCTGAACCTTGCCTCGTGACCTGGTTGCTCTCTGTCTACTGCTGGGTACCTACCTGCCTCCACCGTTACCGACCTGGCTAGTCGGACCACGCTCACTCCTGACTGTCATCAATCCATCCCGCTCGGGACCTGGACCTGTCAGCCTCTTCACATCAGGCTCACACCTGGCACATACCCTCAGTGGGACCCCTCTACCACAGTTTGGTGCACTCAGGGGTCGCGACATAGATCAAGTAGGCTTTGTCCCAGGGAGAGAAGGTAGAGACAATGGATTGAGATCTCTGTTTCTCATACAAAAAAAGTAGGAAAGAGAAAACCCCTGCGGTGGTACTCTCGATTGATGCTGAAAAGGCATTTGATAGAGTAGATTGGGGATATATGATGGATACATTGGAAGTATTGGGGATAGGACATAGAATGAGAGAATGGATAAGGAAATTATATAGCCTCTGCAGCAATCATGGTTATTGGGGAATTATCAGAGTATTCTGGGATGCTAAATGGAACAAGACAGGGATGCCCTCTGTCTCCACTTCTATATGTTTTGTCATTGGAATCTCTATTGGCTACAATAAGGAATAATATAGATATAAAGGGAATATGGATAGGAAACACAGAACATAAGGTGGCAGCTTATGCAGATGATATGCTGTTTTATGTGGGAAAGCCAAGGATAACATTGCCAAATTTAATAAAATCATTGAAAGAATATGGGGAGATGTCAAATTAAAAAATTAACCCAATTAAAACAGAGATCGTAAATATAAATCTTCCAAATAGAGAGAAAAATAGGTTACAGGAGTAATTTCCCTTTGTTTGGAGAGAAAAAGAATTAAAATATCTAGAGACCAAAGATGAACTAAGGAAATTAGGTGGGGGAAATATATCATGGATCAGTTGTGTAAACTTGATAAAAATGGTGATTGTTCCAAAAATTCTATATAAGTTCCAAATGATAACAATTAAATTACCAGAAGCATACTTCAGAACAATTTAAAAAAATGTTAAATTTATTTGGAGCAATGAAATTTTAAGTAGAAATAAAGAGAAAAGGCGAACTAGGAGTACCAGACTTGGAAAGATATTATAATTCAGTAATATTGGCAAGAATTTTTGATTGGACACATAATGCACATGGGAAAAGCTGGGTAAAAATTGAAAATACAATAAGTTGTACTAATTTAAGTAGAATTGTATGGATACCTCCACAATATAGAGGATTAGCAGATAGCACAAGTTTGTTCACACCAGGGGAGGACTGACAACTCATGTGGCCCCCGGGCAATAGGGAATCATGGGGCCCCTGTGTCCTTGCCAAACTCAAAGAAGCCTATGAAAAAAGGTACCAGGGGCATCTCATGGGGCCCCCTACTGACCCCGGGCCCTCGGGCAGTGCCCGAGTTTCCAAATGGTCAGTCCGCCCCTGGTTCACACTTAATGTTTTAAGAGTTTGGAATGTTTTACACAAACAGATGGGATGGGAATTTAATTCACTGTTAATGCCTTTAGGATCCACAGTTTTTTTTCCTCCAGGTAAAGAAAGTATCACTGGGAAGTGGATAAAGAAGGAAGATGTACAATTAAGAGACATAATGGTGGGAGAGGAAATGGGTTCACTTAAGGAATTGAAAAATAAGAGGGAAATATTTATGAGAATGGATGTGTAGCGTTATTTTCAATAGAAACACTTTATAGGGAAGTTGCCAAGGCCATTGAGAACAAGAGAGGATTGGAACCCTTTTGAGCACTTGTTAGATACACGGGGGTGATGGGAAACATGGGATTTCTAAAATATATAAGATTCTCACTGAAATAGATATGGATATAAGGCCATCATTTATAGAGAAATGGGAAAGGGACTTAGGAGTAACAATAGATGTGGAAAAGCAGAATAAAATGTACAGTCTGATTCATGAGAATGTAAATATGAAGGAGGTGGAAATGAATTATAGATGTTTGGCAAGATGGTACATTACACCGAGTGTAGCACAAAGATTAAGCGGAGACAATTCATCTTATGTTGGCATAGATGTGGGGGTACAGATACAATATATCACATATGGTGGGAGTGTCCTAAAATCCAAGAGTATTGGGTTAAAATAGTATGTTTGATTCAGAAAATTACGGAGGTTAATATCTCAAAAGACCCAGAGATTTGCCTTTTTCATGGTACCAAGCTTTCAGTTAAAAAATATATTTAAAAAAACTGGTTTATTGTATTATTTGAATGCAGTGAAAGGATTGATACCCAAATTTTGGAAGGAACAGGAGGCACCAAAAATAAAAGATTGGGTAGATAGGGTGGATTCGATATATAGATTGGAGGAACTTTACCGTATGAATGAAGATAAGATGGAGTTTCCATATAAAATGGAAAAAATGGGAGGAATTTAAAAAAATCAAACTCAATTCTAGAGATCATGGTTGATTAATATAGGAATAAATATGGCTTTATTTCTGGATTAGGATCTCCAGAAAAAGCAAAGCAGAGATAAAGTAGGGTTGAAGGGGGGGGAGGTATGTGGTTTATTGGTAGGGGGGCTTTGGGTGAGGGGAAAAGATATAAAATATTAATGTTATTGTTTTGATATGGTGTTAGGTAAATGTGAGCTTATGTTTTGTTTATACAAACCAACCATTTAAAATAGATAATCTGAAAAATTAATAATAAAATATGTGAATTATAAAAAAAATCCAATATAATAATAATTTCTCTGGAGAAATTTCAGAACATTTTATTATTCATAGTTAATATTTACCCCAGACTCTTGATGTTGTGTAGAACCGGTACAAGTTTTCTCAATCCTTCACTCTGAATATTACATGAACGTAGATTTACTTCTATCTCTCTGCAGGATTGAAGGATAAAAGACAGCACAGAGAAGTCCAGAGGGCTGAGGGGGACATTGTACAAGTCAATGTTGTTTGATCCAATACATTGTGACACCAAAGCCTTGTTCCTGCTCTCATGGAGATAGTAGAATACATTAAGAAGATCTCTGTTGCCTCTTATGGATGTGTCAGGTCTTTTGTTCTAGTAGTTTCTTCTGGATCCAGGTGATGACGTGTCTGGCAGCCTGAGCAGACAATTCTCCCACATGAGACTTTAACATGGATCTAGTAGAAGAGTATGAGAAACCGCAGAGGAAACGGAGGAATATTTCAGCACGGCCATCTTTGTAAGATTTAGCTACATCAAGTGTTTCCTCTAATCTGTCAGCATTATAGTCAATAAAATGGACTAAAGCAGCAAAAAACTCCTGAAGAGTGAGATGTAAAAAGGTGCAATCCACATCAGGGGGCTGACCAGATTCCATCAAGAAAGATGAAAAGAGATGTTTATCATTTCTCACACTGAATGACTCCAGATGACGCTCATCAAACACAATCATGTGATTCATGACTCCATGTTCTGCCATCCGCCCCATAGATGTCAGCAGTTCCCGGGCAGTGTGAACACCATCTGTATTCTGGCTGTGATTGGCCAGAATGTTGGAGACAAAAGTCACAAAGAGTTGTGTCACTGTTTTTGGGTAATGATGTCATCATCAGCTGATCGGTGATTGTTGGTTGGGCTCTGAAGCACATTGATAACACTGTACAGATGATCCAGCAGTATGCTGGGATATAACAGAAAGTGTACAGCGTGTCATTCTCCTGCACATAATGAAAAGCCTTCTCTGACCATTCCTCATTTCCAAAGAAATTATTGAAGAAGGTCCGTCTGTCTTCATGGAGAAATCCCATGATCTCTGCTATTCTCTGGAAAGCACCAGTATCAACCGATGCCAGTCTGGTTGGGCGGCTGGTCATCAGTACAGAGCAACCCTTAAGAAGACTCTGCCTCACCAAACTGACCACAATCTCACCAAAATGTGTTCTCCGTTTTTGATTGGACAGTTTACTTGATCTGAAATCCACTTGATGAATACTTTCATCCAAGCCATCAAATACAAACAGAAGTCTCTCTGGATCTTGTAAAATATCTTCAATCTGACCCTCCAGATGTGGATATTGTTGAGAATCATTTCCTCAAAGCTGAGCTCTCCCAGTCTATTAAGGTCCCGGAATCTGAACAGGAAAACAAAAGGCAAATCTCTGGTAGTGTTTTCCGGTCACCCAGTCATAGACAAACTTCTGCATCAGTGTGGTCTTCCCTATTCCTGGCACTCCGCTCACCATTACTGCATGTGGTACACATTGGGACTGGTGGTTCCATCGGAACAGCTTGTTGGGGGAAATATGTTCCAGTCCAGTCTGTGTTTCCTTCAAGCATTCCTCATGTTTTTACCCCAGTCTGTATTATCTCATTCTGGGGACGCTGCCGGAACTGATCAGTGGAGACTAAAATCAGCTTCACATAACGCTCATTGATGAGGAATATTTGTGGTTCCAGGGTAGTTCTTGGGGGTCTATGCTCCACTAGAGTCTCAGTCTTCTCCATCAGATGTTGTTTGTGCTTTTTCTGAATATCTAGAAGGTGGTGAAATTTTCTTTTAATCAGATAAAATATAAAGTTGAAATATAAAATTAATTTTAAAGTGTTATAAACCCAGGACTCTGCATTCACTATATCTGCACTCCCCGGACCCCACATTCACTATATCCGGTCTCCACGGACCCTGCATTCACAATATCCGCTCTCCCTGGACACTGCATTCACTATATCCACTCTCCCTGGACACTGCATTCACTATATCCGCTTTCCCCCGGACCCCGCATTCACTATATCCGCTCTCCCCGGACCCCACATTCACTATATCCGCTCTCCCCAGACCCCGCATTTACTATATCCGCTCTCCCCAGACCCCGCATTCACTATATCCGCTCTCCCCAGACCCCGCATTTACTATATCTGGTCTCCCACAGTACACAGGGACAGTCTAAAATACAAGGAGAGAAACACAGTGCCTCTAAGTGTAGACTGTTTAGCAGTTTAATAATAAAAACCATACTTTCCAGTGACCTTCCAGGCTTTACTATCAGGCGCTCCTCCATCTCTCCAGCGCGCTTTCTTCTCTGTCCGGCCGGCATTCTCTCTCACTGTGGTTCCAGTGTCTGGCATAGAGGCGCTGTGCACACTTAACCCTTATGAGCCCGTTTGTCGTTTCCAATATGTGAGTTGTTAAACTTGCTGTTTTAATCATTAAACTGCTAAACAGTCTACACTTAGAGGCGCTGTGGCATATAGGTGGAGGTCACGATTCCCTTTCAGCTTCACTGCCAGCAGCCTGCCAAACTACGGGATGAAAGCCAAAGTCTGCATTCCAGGCTCAAATTACCTTGATTGTTGAGGATCAAAAGGATCCCATCCAATGTTCTAGCTATCATCCAATGCCATTAATTTGATTTGAAGAATTTTGCCAATATGATAGCAAATAGGACACCTACATACCACACCTAACCCATACAGAACACATCGGGCTGGATTTAATAAAGGCAAATAGACTGAATAGAAATACTTTTCCCCAAACATTATTAAATGTGGAAAAGCTATGATGATTTATATCATCCAGTCATGTGCAAACAAAAATGCTTTTTTATTTTCCTTGCACATGATTAGGTATTCATTAGATATTGAAGTGTAGCATCCTCCTAGTTTAGCTAGGGGAAGCTAGAATCCCAGTTGTCAGTCAGGAAAGCTGAGTAGCAGCCTGGGTGTAATAGCCAAAACGTTAAATTGTGGACAGGAGCTGAGAGGCTCTGCAGGCCTGCCCCTCTTTTATTTCCCCCTGCTCTATGGCTCTGGAGCAAGGCCCTAGAGGCAGTGGGTGGATCTGAGGGGTTGCAGTTCCTAGCCAATCCCCAACAAGAGGTTGGTAAGGGGACAGGGCACCCTTAAAAGTGTTGGAGCCTGCTCAATTGGAGGAGGGAGAGTTTGGGTGGAAGATGTGAGGCTGAAGGTGGGAGGCTGTGAGGAGGCCCAAAAGGATGGAGTCTACCTGCAGGCCTTGAGCTGGAAAGGAAGAAAGCACAGAGTCCCACTGGCCCTGTCACGGTCTGGATCAGGTTCAGAGACCAGTTGCTACAGCAGTGTAAGGCTTACCTGAAACCAGCAAGGTTGGTACACCAGCAGATCACCCTGGGAATGACGCAGGCTCACCTGAGGTGCGGGGTCTAAGTATTAACCAGTTTTGCCCAGAGCTCCTAATGGTGGAGATGGATTTGGCTGCGTGCTAATACCAGGTCGCAGATCTCAGGATCACCCCACCAGGGAATGAGCAAGCTGGAAACCAAAAGCGGATAAAACAGATTAGGGATCAAACAGAAGCGGAGTCAGTCACAAGCCAAGGGTCGGTCACAAATGGTAGTAGATAGGATGAGGAAGAATGGTAGTCAGTAGCAAGCCAAAGGTTGGTAACAAAGATGTAGACGGCAACAGGAACAGTAAGGGGGATATTGGCTGGGAAGGCACAATAATCTGGCAAGGATGAAGTGCGTGGACATGGCTTTTATAGGAAGTTCATGGGAGGAGCAAGGAGTTCAAGGTTCAAGACAAAACAGGGCCAAGGCAGGATCAACCAAAGAGTTGTTAAGGGAGCTGTCCAGCATTCCAGGTGGCTCAGTGAGAAGAAACATTGCCTCTCACCGCAGAAGGCCCAGATTCGATCCCAGGCTCTAACAGACCCCCAGATTGAGGACCACCTGTATAGCAGGGAAGGAGTGGCCCAGCTGATAGGCCCGGTAGCAGCCACCAACCCACCAGTGGTACAGGAAAGGATCTGAGCGAGTACACCTATGCCCTCTGGGTGGGGAAGGGGAAGGAGCACTCTGGTGGGAAACCAGATTCACCACCTAATTGTGACTGTTCATCTCCTAAATTGACAGGCACCGGATCCCCTGTTCAGGAATACCTCCAGATTGCTGGATGAAGGAAGAGGAGCTCATCTAGGGTCTGGGGTGGTATATTAGGAGATGCTGGCTAGCTCTTCATTTATACACTGTGCTATGTGTAAAAGCTTGTAAATGGTTCCAGGAGGTTGTCCTCAGTTCATCAGTTCCCTTGGGCATTCTGTACACCCCTAACCCTATTCCAGTTCAAATCACTAAAAAAAAAAAAAAAAAAAACACCACCACAAAGCTCAAGGACTGATTTCTGACTCTGGATGCAAGCTTGTGTGAGATGATGTTGCTGGCTGTGCAGGACTACGAAGGGACCCAAAATCTTTGCAACTCCTAAGGGGTAGTGCTACAGAAGCTTTACCATACTACATTTACTAAGGAAAACAAGGGAAAGTGCACATTCTATTTTGCCTTCAGTAAATCAACCCCATTGGATTTATCCCATTGATAGAAGCAAAAAATAGCACTATCATGACTAAGATATAAAATGTGAACCAGCTGCGTCACGTGACCCTGTGGCGTGATGCGTAGGGGGAGGAGTTTTGGTGATGTCATGGTGCTCGCGGTCACCTGACCTGCCCCAGAGAGAGATCACGAAGGGAAACTGGTTATAGCCAGGTGTCAGCTACATTTATGCGTGTAATATTGGGTGCTATGGAGCACCTGAATCATGCGAGTTGCTTATTTATATTTTAATAAAATGGAAGTTTTTAAACGATAAAGCATTATTGGTCTGCCTATGTACTTCCTATATGTATGCTGAGTGAAGAAGGAGCTGAGCTGAATCAACAATGAAGGAGAATCTTGGTAGAGGTCATACCATCACTATACGTCCACCTAGAGGACGCAAGCCTTCTTTGACCAAACATAGTTGTGAGGTCAAAAATTCCAGGTCAGAGCACAACTGGTGTCACTGGTGGTGGAGGTGCACTATACAGTTATGTTCAAAATAATAGCAGTGTGTTGAAAAAAGTGAATAAAGCTCAAAGTCCTTCTAATAGCTTTTATTTCCATATACACAAATGCATTGGGAACACGACACATTCTATGTTCTATTCTATCACTTAATGAATATTTAGTTGTTTAAGCACTGTTTCTGAGAACTGTTCTACATCTGTGTTGCATGGAGTCAACCAACTTCTGGCCCCTGTGAACAGGTATTCCAGCCCAGGATGATTGGACTACATTCCAGAGTTCTTCTCTATTTCTTGGTTTTGCCTCAGAAACTGCATTTTTGATGTCACCCCACAGGTTTTCTATTGGATTAAGACCCGGGGCTTGGGCGGGCCACTCCATAACGTCAATCTTGTTGGTCTGGAACCAAGATGTTGCACGTTTACTGGTGTGTTTGGGGTCGTTGTCTTGTTGGAACACCCATTTCAAGGGCATTTCCTCTTCAGCATAAGGCAGCATGACCTCTTCAAGTATTCTGATGTATTCAAACTGATCCATTATTATTATTATACAGTATTTATAAAGCGTCAATAGTTCGCTCAGCGCTGTACATTACAAAGGGGGAATGAACATCCGACAGTACAGTAACAATACAATGCGATACACGAGGGGTTCGAGGGCCCTGCTCTTTCCAGCTTACAATCTAGGAGGGGAGAGGATAGTGGCACAGGAGGAAATAGCTGTGGGGGATGAAGTGGTAGGAAGAGTGGAGGAGGTCGGTCAAGTTAGCAGGGGGTAGGGTAGGCTTCCCTGAAGAGATGGGTTTTCAGGGTGCGCCTAAAGGAGAGGAGAGTAGGTGATAATCTGATGGGTTGGGGCAGGGAGTTCCAGAGGATGGGTGACACCCTGGAGAAGTCCTGGAGGCGGGCATGGGAGGAGGAGACCAGGGAACTAGAGAGAAGGAGGTCTTGTGAGGAGCGGAGTGTGCGTGCTGGGCGGTACTTGGATATTAGGTCAGTGATGTAGTTCGGGGCAGTATGGTGGACGGCTTTGTACGTCAATGTTAGGATTTTGAATTTGATACATTGCGCAATCGGAAGCCAGTGGAGGGATTGGCAGAGGGGGGTGGTGGAAACGGAGCGGTTGGAAAGGTGAATGAGTCTGGCGGCCGTATTCAGGATCAACTGAAGCGGGGATAGCCAGCGGCGAGGCAGGCCAGTGAGGAGGGAGTTGCAGTAGTCGAGTCGTGATACGATGAGGGAGTGGATGAGCGGTTTAGTGGTTTCTGGGGTTAGGAATGCGCGTATTTTGGCGATGTTGCGGAGGTGGAGTCTGCACGAGTTTGTTAAAGATTGGACTTGGGGCTGGAAGGATAGGTTGGAGTCCAGAATGACACCAAGTACTCTGGCCTGCAGGGCGGGTTTTATATTGGCGTTGTTGGATGTGATGGAGAAGTCAATGGGGGGTGGGGTCCGGGCTGGGGGGAAGACAAGAAACTCGGTTTTGGAGAGGTTCAGTTTAAGGAAGTGGAGCGACATCCAATCTGATATGTCGCTCAGTAGGTGTGTGATTCGGGCAGAGACTGAGGGGGTGAGGTGGGGGGTTGAGAGATAGATTTGTGTGTCGTCGGCATAGAGGTGGTAGTTGAAGCCGTGAGAGTGTATGAGTTGGCCAAGGGAGGAGGTGTAGATGGAGAAGAGAAGGGGCCCAAGGACAGAGCCTTGAGGGACCCCAAC